ACTTTCAGTAGCCTGATGATCGGGTTTGAAGACATAGAGCGATATTGCTATGAGAATGATGATCCACCATTGAAAGCCAATCTTCAGATATTGAATCGAGCCATCCTCGACAATACAAAATCGACAAATACATCAGCTCGAATCAAATCCTCTGAGGTACTCAGTATCGCGATGCCACTTTGCAAAATCTCCACGATGACTCAAAAGCTGCATTCTTGAAGTATGGCGAAGATCAGAGGAAATATGATGAGGAGAGGCGAGCCCTAAAGGGTAATAACTTAAACCCTGCCAGGTCAGCGTTGAAGGCGGCAACCGCTGACATGAAAGCGACCAAGGTTGTCTATCAAATCAAGACTAAAGGCTTCTTCGATGCTAAAAACTACACCGAGGTTGATCAATTCAGTGATAGACAAGATGAGCACACAGCTCGCCAAACTGTGAATAACATGGTTGATCAGGTAAAGCCGACAGGCGTGTGGTCAGGGTTTAGCGGAAGCTTCAGGGTCGTGGGTTAAGAGGTGCTGGTGTCGCCCCGCTTGAAGGGGTTGTCCTTCGCGGGAGAACATACAACCTCAACGAGATCCAAGGTATAGCCACCCCATCCGCATACATCTATCGTCAGCTCGGTTCGAAGTACATTCGGATCCCCAATCTTGATAACAAAACTCTGGTCATTGTTCAACCGAATCGACGCAAGTGCGGACCAAAGCGCGTAATCAGTGATCCGCTACAGTCAATGATTCGAACTCTCGCCTTCAAGCAGCATATCGATCAGACAGAGTACGACAAGCTCAGTATCGATAATAAAAAGCTTTTCGAGGAGATTCTCGCGATTACGCATCTTCCGTACAATTTCCATGATCGGGTTGAGAATCCGTTAGAAGCTCTAAAAGCTGAATATGCTAAGCTAAAAGATGAACTCGAACTCGGAAGTGATAATCTTTCAATCGTTAAGCAACTTAAATCGTTTAGTGTGGATATGTACAGCAATCGAATGATTGATGATAAAGAGTTCAAGGAAATTATTACGCGACTACTATAGAAACATGTTAATTTTTCAGCCGCCGAATTATTTCCAGCTCAGCAGGTAGCTAAGGAGACAACGCGGATCAACAAAGCCGAGCTAAAATCTATCATGAAAAACCTCATCATTCATGACCGCCCACAGAAGACTCAGGCAGCTGTTTGGGCTGCTGACCTTGATAAGTCCATAAAGAAGGTTAATGCATCGACTCAGACCGAGGGAGGAAGAGGATGGGCTTATACAAGAAAGAAAAAAGATAAAACTGTGAAGACCTTTGCTATTTAACGTCAGTTCTTTAAGGAGAAATCCCTTCTCTTACAAGGCGATTCTTGTATCCCTTGTAAATCTCTATTTTTTTTATTCACTGATATCTCTACGATAGCTGACTCTCCTTTATCATTTTTCGTAGGTAGGAAAACGCTATCTCCCAGAGCCACAATTTGATCGGCCCGCAGAATTGCTGGTTCAACGATTTGACCTGGTTCATCAGTTGTTAAATTCGTTTTTAGCACTTTGCTTGGTCCGCAACCCATGGTTATTAGGACTGTGGTCTAACCATCGCAAAAGAAACGTTTTTGAGAACCAAGAAGCGGTGTATGGTTTGGAAGTATCGATAAGTCCATGCCTGTTTTCGCTCAATATTACCATGGTCGTACTTACTGAATGCTCTCAATGGCGTGATGTCTCGATACTGTTACCACTTAATACACCTTAATACCCCCAAAAGATACAGCTCGACCATCATCAAACACAACACCTCCTTAACGTTCTTTTCTCATCAAAATACGAAATGTGAATGGCATGGTCTATATTAGAGATGATACCTTTGCTTCCAAGTCCTCAATTCGAATCAAGAGATGTTAAATCATTTTCATATTGTACGCTGCAATTCGACTGTAATCAACGTTAAGCTGTGTTTTGGCTGGTTCAAACGATAGGACTTCGCCTTCCTGAATATCCTCACGATAGAAAACACTGATTAAATCGGTTAGGTGGACTGAGACAAGGTCTTGAGCTACGAGGCCCACCTCTTCACCAGGTCTATTTTCTGATTCAATCCAGTCATACAAAACTACATCACAATTATCGTAGAGTCTTTTGATGCGTTCGAGCGGACACGATTGATTTTTCCACTTCAATCTGCGGTCACTCGTCATCGTCATGGCTGTACAGGCAATGTATCCTCCGAATATACCCGCTACTGAATATGTGATCGGGCCAAGAGCGGATTATGTAGCTCCACTATCTGTTCTGAGGCGATACACTGTCGTTCCGCCTGCTCCAAAAACAAAACGGTTGCTGCCAGGGACGTGCAGCGGAGCTGAAGGACTTGCCGTACCAAGACCAAGACGACCTGTGGTAGTTAGAATCATCGACGTCGAGTTATTGACCCCAAATCTGAGGTCGGTTTTGTGATGTCCCCGATCCATGACGCGTTCGCTGTGGTTGATCGATTGTCATTATGGACTTGGATCTGAAAGTGAACAGGATGCGTATTCGACCCGGTTAGAGTCATCATTCGTGTGTAAGAACCTCCAATCCACTACCAGTGATCGAGAAATATTCATTCGTTGCTGTAGAGTTGATCCCAAGCTCTGTCAGCGATCCTACTGCTGTTATATATCATTGGTTTCCATACGCTAAAAACTCATTGATAACGCCGGAGCAGCTGACATCCCCACTCGTTGACAGATTATTGAACGAGAGGGAAGTCGGAATAGATGTTAAAAAGCTTGATAGGTCATAATACGTCGAGCCCTGGCGCAAGTCCGTGCAGGTCAGAGTAGTAGCCGTTACCGAACTTAGGCCTCCGATATTCGAGCTTGAGTCGCATAATAGGAACTTATTTGGCGTTGCGGTACCAAAACTAACTCCGTTTATGTCACTAATCGTATTCTGGCGATATTCTCGACAATCGATGTAGCTTGAAGTGCCTGTTATCGATATCGAGCGCGATAATCCACTGAACGATAAATTTCCATCGATCGTAAGACTTGATAAAGAGCCGAAAGACGTTATTTTGGGTTGGGATCTGGTTTGTAACGTTCCAGGAATATTCGAAGCTCCAAAGCTATTAATTCCGCCGATATTGCCGGACAAATCGATAATCGAAGCTTTGCTGTACGAAAGCAGTTCCCGCTATTACTCCGCTAAGGTAGCCCATCCTGTAATCATCCTTGCTCAAATATAAGTCTGCGCATAATCGTATGTTCGATAACCACTCGAGTCTAACGAAAGAAAGAATGAAGGATTATAAATGGATGATTGAAATGTAGGCTGTGGATATGAAAAACCGGAACTCATCTTGTTTAATCCTATATAGATCAAATGATTTTAGTCATGAGTGCTATTTCTGACTTCGGGGCTTCGATTCCGAAAAAATCAAGTCTGCTTCGATGAGTGATATCCCCGCATTGGAAATGAAAGCTTTGCTTAGAATGGTTGTGCTCGGTCCAAGCCGAAGGAAAGGGAAGAACAATCTTTGTATGTTTATTCTCAAGCATTCGCCTCACGTATTTGCTCATCTAACTATTATTGCTCGTAATTCCCATCAAAGGTAATCCCATCAGCTTTATGAGTATCTCCGGGAAAAGTTGGAAGAATTTATCACATTTGCTGACCCAGATAGCCCTCCTAAAGTAGATCAGGAGCGTCATACTCCATTAAGCTCCAACAAACCGGAGCTTGTTATCATCGATGACTATAGCAATGATAAACTACTTCAGAAGAATATCTTCTCTCATTACTATACACATGGGCGACACTTTAAACTCTCAACCATATTCCTAAGCCACAGCTACTTTGCCACTGATAAGATGATTTGGTTGAATTTGGAGTACGTAGCGATTCTAAGAGCGAATTCAAAGCGTGATTTACAGATCGTTGTAAAGAATTTAACATCAAAGGCGTTGATGAACGATCAATCGTCTATTACTACAATAAAGCAACGGAGCGCAAAGACCAGATGCTGTTCGTGGATTCAGTCAAAGGTCAAATCAGATATAACATCGATAGGCCGATCGATATTGAGCAATAATTTGAAAATATTTTGAGTGAATCAATATACATAAATCATGTGCACTTCGTTTGTTAAACTCGATTCCACTAACCTCGTTCAAGACGGATACAACTGCACATGGAAATACAGCTTCCCGGGTAGTGATGCCGATTTTAAAGATGTAGCATGTTCAGTTCAAGAGACTTCGATGTATAACTCTGAATACAACATTGACGCCCCTCAATTCTGGAATAATTCCTTAAAATTGAAGTTTCGACAACTGGAACCACATCCACTGTATCTGTTAACTTGCCTGATGGGTGGGCTTTACTATACTGATATAAATCAAAGCATCCAGACAGCTCTCGTAAATGATGGAGCGTATTTAATTAATTCATCGGGTGAATCGTTTTCTATATTCAACTAACGGAAAACGGTGTGATTATGCTGCCCGATTCGATTTTAGCACTACGTCAACGACACTTCCTACTGCTGGTGGCACTTCCGGCAAGTGGTCGTTATTTGTCAGGCGGTACTGGTTTGTCATCAACAACGCGTGTCCCTCGCATCATCATCGATAGTGTCGCTTTTGGTAAATTAGTAGGATTAATTACTGGTACGTATCCTTCAGTGCCTGCAACGGCTTTCAAGTGCTCAGTTCAGTAATACAACTCCTCAGATCCATCCTACATCTTCTTACATCGTTCGTTGTGATCTAAGTAAGAACGAGTATGTAGCCTCTTGTGATGTTCTTAGTGTGTTTGATCGTGGTGATGCTCAGGTAGGTCAATCAATCAGCTATAAGCCAGGTCAATATACCTGGATGAACTTTCATAATGGAGCACGCACATCAATTAAGATCTCACCCTTTACTTAGAATGCCACAATGGTTAAGTTCCACGACACTTCATTGAGCATCATGCTTCTGCTTCGTCCAAAAAAATAACTAATCGAATGACTAATTTTTTTATTCAACTCTCAAAACCGAAAATTTCCCCCTCGCCGTTTAGCACGCAAAGCGGCCATTTTAGCCTTCATTTCATGACTGCCTTTAGCTAATTTCCTAGAAACTCCCATACCATAACGTCTCTTTACCTCACCTCGCACTGACTTGATTAGAGTTTCATGTTCCGTTTGCTTGCTTTTGATAGTAGAAACTTCTCACCTGCATCGACTGCACCAGTTAGAACCCTCTTACGTTTAGAATACCCGAGAGCCGTTTTGGCGCCGTCTTAACATCCGCTATAGATACACGTCCTCCCACTTTCTCTATATCACTTTCAGAGTCATTTAAACCAACTCTGGTCAATGACTTAATAGCTGCTCTCGCTGGGATTGCTGCTTGAGAGGCCCCAAACGCTGACGCAAGAGCCGGAACCGCCGCGGCTAATCCCTTTGAAAGCAATCCGCTGTCTTATACAAATTTGAATGCTGTCGGTCACCCAGTTTGATTTTACTCCAAATGGATCCCCCTTGGAGATTCTTGTATCCTTTATTGATATCATGACGTGTGATATCAAGTCTAACACCACGACCTGCCTTGCGAGCCTTTAGTGCTTTCTCATACGAAGCTGGGTGGAGATGGATCACAGAGCCTGCACCCTTGAGTTGGTTTGCAGTAAGACTTAGATTGCCTGTCTTGAGAGCTTTGGTCAGCTTGGCGGCTGGAACATCGCTGGAAATCGTCAAATCGCGATACATTATTGCTATATTCCCTAAAACATATTTAATACAGAATTGAGAAATTCAGATCTTTCATGTTCTTAAATACATCAGGTCTGTTGCGCTGCTTGAAATATAACTAAAGCATACAGAAGGGTCCGCATTTGGCCTACGAACTTTGATATTGTTTGGTATTATATCGCCCGACTCCATATTTCGTAGGTGCCGCTTCTCCCATGCTATCAAAATATTTGCCATTGTGAACAGCTGTCCAGTGTCCTACATCCATATTAGGTTGTCGTAGTAAAATCAAATATGATCCATTCTTCGGAAGCGGCTGAGAGATCTCACTTGATTCGAAAATATTATCGAGCTGAGCCACCATCTTCTCAGCGAGTTCAATGAGATCGTGATCACTGGTAATTGGCTTAACAAGGCTGTTCATAATAATAAATTTAACAAAACTATTTTGATCAAGACATGGATTCAACGATGTCTGAAACACAACTTTCTGACCAATATATTCACCAGAGCTCGCTCAAGAGTGATCCGGAGATTAAGGTCTCCTCTGGCAAGCTCGTGTCTTATGTTATCGATCTTAACCAAGGTTCGTACCAAAACGGTGTTTTCACTATCGACGCTACGTCCCAGATTAATGGTAGTGTGGAATTTGCCTGTCTCCGCGATGCTTACATTATCCTACCGTACAAGGTTTCGATGAAGAACACGCACGCTACAAAAAACAATAATACCGCCAACCGATTTTGTGTTGGTCTCAAGAGTGGCACTTTAACGTCATCGATTCGATGTCGCTTGAGCTCAATGGTAAAACCATTGTCTCGATGGCAGACTACAAGCTATTTTGGAGCAATATCCGTGCTCAGACTGGGAACAGCCCTCAGTATGTTGCGAAGCATGGTGCTGAAGCGTTTCTATACCCAAATGCTGCTCAATCAACCAAGTACAGTAGTGCAGCCGCTACTACCGGAGACGGGTATTTGAATAACACAGCAGTCTCTACTACCTTCCCCGCCGGTACTATTTATGCTACGTCATAGGTAGCAAAAGATGGTTTTACTAAGCGTCTTATCTCTATCCCTTCAAATGCTGGAGCTGACTCATCTACGTCGTGGCCTTCTACTGGTGCTGCGTCTGCCACGACTACCATAGTAAATCAACTTGGTCGCGGTGCGTTCGTAGCTGGCGCTGATTCACCTGGTGCTATTATGGGGACGTGGAGCTATATGCTTAATATTAAGCTTGTTGATTTACATCCGATTTTCAAGGAGCTTGACTTGATGGCTGATCCACATATTCGCCTTCGTTTCCGCGTTAGCCAAGGCACTTCAGCTATTGATGTTGATGCATCGAGAAATATGACGCTAACGGGAACAACATAATCGAGTGGCAATGTATGTCCAGCAATGGTTGCTTCTGCGACCAATCCAAATCCAATGTACAATGCTCTCAGTGTCGCTGATTCCATTGCAGTTTCTTGGGGTGCTGTGGCTGACTCGTTTGAGGCTACAATTGTTGGAGCCTACATGCCTTCCACCACTTCTCGACTGTATGTTCCTTTCGTTCATTTGGAGGACCCTCAGGCCATCGTCTCTAAGCCCGTTAAAAAGGTTCGATACAACGATTCCTATGCCCAATGGCTCTACCAGCGCGCTGGTATTGGTAAGCCGTCGACTCAGCTCAATGCTGCGTTTGATCTCCAGCTTTCGGCTTCTGTTAAAAACGCTAAGTATGCTATCCTCCCTCCTTTTGCCGAACAGACCGGTTGTTTTGCTTCTGCTGCTGTCCAAGCGTTTCAGAGTTCTTTCGATTCGGCTCCTTGGACTCTTCACCCTGGCTCGAGCATTCGCAACTTTAACGTCCGCGTTTGTTCGCAACAGACTTTCGACATCAGCCATGACTATGACTTCCACCACTTTACTAACGAGATCGCTAAGATTGCTTCGATTAACGGTGAACTAACGCCCGAGCTGGTGATTGGTCTTCTTGACTATCAGACGTGGTCTCTAACTAACCGCGTCCTTATCGCTGACGTTAGCCGCCTGATGGAGCGTGATGTACCGCAGGCTATTCACGTTCAGGGTGTCAACGCTGGTTGTCAGGGAGCCAACCTGCTTGTATTGGTTGTGAGCGAACAAGGGCTAACGCTGGTTACCAGGCAACCAACATGCTTGTATTGGTTGTGAATGAACAAGAGCTAGCGCTGGATCGCTTAACCGGGACAATTTTAGATTTTACCACTGCTTAGTTAGAAAATGTTTTAGTAATTTTTGTCATAGGCACAAAAAATTAAATATATTCATATCGCTTAATTAAGTTCCTTGAGTAGCTTAGGACATTTGTCAATTACGAATGGGTTCTTACGAAGCCAATAGATATAATTAGAATCGGTGTGACTAATTTGCTTTAGCGTCTTTTCCTTGTCCTTGCCCCAATTCATCATATAAGTAGCATTGCTAAGAAACTTGGAGTGAAGGAAAATCTTGATATCCTTAGTAATATTGAGACTGGGTTGGTTGTGCATCCATTGACAATACCCGGAATTAGAAGCATATACTTCTTCGATCGGTGTGCCTTTGTATTTCCAAAAGTTAGTTCGATCGATATGTTATTAGTTATGTGTATCTATATACATAGTGTCTTAACTTTTGTTTGAAAAAAGTTTAATAATTAAGTAGCTTGCTTACCATTTACTATAGTCCGGACCCACCAACCAAGACCTTGCGGATATGGCATTGTCTTGATCCACTTCGAATGTTTTTCTTTATTACAGTGCTTTGCAAAGTTCCATCTCTCCATCGATGATCCGCACAAACAAGTGATTATTTCATTCATCGGAGCTGAAATTATTTTTTCATCACATCTTCACTGACTTCTGGTGAGAAAATTTCAGTGGGCGGAAAATTCGATAATGTGTGCATACCACAACGCTCTTGCGATGGCTTTGCCTTACACTTTAATCCACTATCCAAAATGTAATTGCACATTCCTATTACTTGTAGTAATTATGATATCCTTAATATTTGCTATATTAAGATCAGCTCGTTTTAGCCTTTAAACTCTCTATCGCAATCTATCGGCCCCGAAACTACCCTAAGATCCTGAGGATGCGCCCTCTCGCTCTCACGTGGTCGAGAGGCTGCGTCAAAGACGCCAGCAGCCGTTAGATCTTAGTAGTCGAGCGGATCTGAAACCGCCCTTAGAATAGACGATTAATCGTTCATCAACGCCTTTGATGTTAAAATCCATTACAACCATCTGTAAATCACGCTTCGAATTCGCTCTTAGAATCGCTACGTACTCCAAATTCAACCGAATCATCTTATCAGTGGCAAAGTAGCTGTGGCTTAGGAATATGGTTGAGAGTTTAAAGTGTCGCCCATGTCTATAGTAATGAGAGAAGATATTCTTCTGAAGTAGTTTATCATTGCTATAGGCATCGATGATAACAAGCTCCGGTTTGTTGGAGCTTAATGGAGTATGACGCACCTGATCTACTTTAGGAGGGCTATCTGGGTCAGCAAATGTGATAAATTCTTCCAACTTTTCCCGGAGATACTCATAAAGCTGATGGGATTACCTTTGATGGGGATTACGAGCAATGATAGTTAGATGAGCAAATACGTGAGGCGAATGCTTGAGAATAAACATACAAAGATTGTTCTTCCCTTTCCTTCGGCTTGGACCGAGCACAACCATTCTAAGCAAAGCTTTCATTTCCAATGCGGGGATATCACCCATCGAAGCAGACTTGATTTTTTTTGGAATCGAAGCCCCGAAGTCAGAAATAGCACTCATGACTAAAATCGTTTGATCTATATGGGATTAAACAAAATGAGTTCCGGTTTTTCATATCCACAGCCTACATTTCAATCATCCATTTATAATCCTTCATTATTTCTTTCGTTAGCCTCGAGTGGCTATCGAGATACGATTATGCGCAGAATTATATTTGAGCAAGGATGATTACAGGATGGGCTACCTTAGCGGAGTAATAGCGGGAACTGCTTTCGTACAGCAAAGCTTCGATTATCGATTTGTCCGGCAATATCGGCGGAATTAATAGCTTTGGAGCTTCGAATATTCCTGGAACGTTACAAACCAGATCCCAACCCAAAATAACGTCTCTCGGCTCTTTATCAAGTCTTACGATCGATGGAAATTTATCGTTCAGTGGATTATCGCGCTCGATATCGATAACAGGCACTTCAAGCTACATCGATTGTCGAGAATATCGCCAGAATACGATTAGTGACATAAACGGAGTTAGTTTTGGTACCGCAACGCCAAATAAGTTCCTATTATGCGACTCAAGCTCGAATATCGGAGGCCTAAGTTCGGTAACGGCTACTACTCTGACCTGCACGGACTTGCGCCAGGGCTCGACGTATTATGACCTATCAAGCTTTTTAACATCTATTCCGACTTCCCTCTCGTTCAATAATCTGTCAACGAGTGGGGATATCAGCTGCTCAGGCGTTATCAATGAGTTTTTAGCGTATGGAAACCAATGATATATAACAGCAGTAGGATCGCTGACAGAGCTTGGGATCAACTCTACAGCAACGAATGAATATTTCTCGATCACTGGTAGTGGATTGGAGGTTCTTACACACGAATGATGACTCTAACCGGGTCGTATACGCATCCTGTTCACTTTCAGATCCAAGTCCATAATGACAATCGATCAACCACAGCGAACGCGTCATGGATCGGGAACATCACAAAACCGACCTCAGATTTGGGGTCAATAACTCGACGTCGATGATTCTAACTACCACAGATCGTCTTGGGCTTGGTACGGCAAGTCCTTCAGCTCCGCCGCACGTCCGTGGCAGCAACCGTTTTGTTTTTGGAGCAGGCGGAACGACAGTGTATCGCCTCAGAACAGATAGTGGAGCTACATAATCCGCTCTTGGCCCGATCACATATTCAGTAGCGGGTATATTCGGAGGATACATTGCCTGTACAGCCATGACGATGACGAGTGACCACAGATTGAAGAGGAAAATTCAATCGTGTCCGCTCGAACGCATCAAAAGACTCTACGATAATTGTGATGTAGTTTTGTATGACTGAATTGAATCAGAAAATAGACCTGGTCAAGAGGTGGGCCTCATAGCTCGAGACCTTGTCTCAGCCCACCTAACCGATTTAATCAGTGTTTTCTATCGTGAGGATACTCAGGAAGGCGAAGACCCATCGTTTGAACCAGCCAAAACACAGCTTATCGTTGATTACAGTCAAATTGCAGCGTACAATATGAAAATGATTTAACATCTCTTGATTCGAATTGAGGACTTGGAAGCAAAGGTATCATCTCTAATATAGACCATGCCATTCACATTTCGTATTTTGATGAGAAAAGAAAGAAATATAATGTTGTGTTTGATGATGGTCGAGCTGTATCTTTTGGTGGTATTAAGCGGTATTAAGTGGTAACAGTATCGAGACATCACGCCATTGAGAGCATTCAGTAAGTACGACCATGGTAATATTGAGCGAAAACAGGCATGGACTTATCGATACTTCCAAACCATACACCGCTTCTTGGTTCTCAAAAACGTTTCTTTGGTAGCGTATAGACCACAGTCCTAATAACCATGGGTTGCGGACCAAGCAAAGTGCTAAAAACGAATTTAACAACTGATGAACCAGGTCAAATCGTTGAACCAGCAATTCTGCGGGCCGATCAAATTGTGGCTCTGGGAGATAGCGTTTTCCTACCTACGAAAAATGATAAAGAAGAGTCAGCTATCGTAGAGATATCAGTGAATAAAAAAAATAGAGATTTACAAGGGATACAAGAATCGCCTTGTAAGAGAAGGGATTTCTCCTTAAAGAACTGACGTTAAATAGCAAAGGTCTTCACAGTATTATCTTTTTTTCTTTCTTGTATAAGCCCATCCTCTTCCTCCCTCGGTCTGAGTCGATGCATTAACCTTCTTTATGGACTTATCAAGGTCAGCAGCCCAAACAGCTGCCTGAGTCTTCTGTGGGCGGTCATGAATGATGAGGTTTTTCATGATAGATTTTAGCTCGGCTTTGTTGAGATCCGCGTTGTCTCCTTAGCTACCTGCTGAGCTGGAAATAATTCGGCGGCTGAAAAAGTAACATGTTTCTATAGAAGTCGCGTAATAATTTCCTTGAACTCTTTATCATCAATCATTCGATTGCTGTACATATCCACACTAAACGATTTAAGTTGCTTAACGATTGAAAGATTATCACTTCCGAGTTCGAGTTCATCTTTTAGCTTAGCATATTCAACTTTTAGAGCTTCTAACGGATCCTCAACCCGATCATGGAAATTGTACGGAAGATGCGTAATCGCGAGAATCTCCTCGAAAAGCTTTTTATCATCGATACTGAGCTTGTCGAACTCTGTCTCATCGATATGCTGCTTGAAGGCGAGAGTTCGAATCATTGACTGTAGCGGATCACTGATTACGCGTTTTGGTCCGCACTTGCGTCGATTCGGCTGAACAATGACCAGAGTTTTGTTATCAAGATTGGGGATCCGAATGTACTTCGAACCGAGCTGACGATAGATGTATGCGGATGGGGTGGCTATACCATGGATCTCGTTGAGGTTGTATGTTCTCCCGCGAAGGACAACCCCTTCAAACGGGGCGACACCAGCACCTCTTAACCCACGACCCTGAAGCTTCCGCTAAACCCTGACCACACGCCTGTCGGCTTTACCTGATCAACCATGTTATTCACAGTTTGGCGAACTGTGTGCTCATCTTGCCTATCACTGGATTGATCAACCTCGGTGTAGTTTTTAGCATCGAAGAAGCCTTTAGTCTTGATTTGATAGACAACCTTGGTCGCTTTCATGTCAGCGGTTGCCGCCTTCAACGCTGACCTGGCAGGGTTTAAGTTATTACCCTTTAGGGCTCGCCTCTCCTCATCATATTTCCTCTGATCTTCGCCATACTTCAAGAATGCAGCTTTTGAGTCATCGTGGAGATTTTGCAAAGTGGCATCGCGATAATGAGTACCCTCAGAGGATTTGATTCGAGCTGATGTATTTGTCGATTTTGTATTGTCGAGGATGGCTCGATTCAATATCTGAAGATTGGCTTTCAATGGTGGGTCATCATTCTCATAGGAATATCGCGCTATGTCTTGAAACCCGATCATCAGGCTATTGAAAGTGTCCATCCATCTAATGGTTTTCATAAGATCGTTGAAAACCTTGCCTGAAACCGCTTTGTTCTCGTGGGTTCAAATGTAAAAAGG